GCCAATTTGGATTACCTAATCCTGGGGTGCACTTTCCCACATTGTATAAAAATGCAAGGTCTAATTACATTAATATTTACGTTTCCTGGGAGTAAAGAGGAGGAGCAAACATTCTGGGAAGTGTAGAAGTACAAGGTTTCTGTGAAGCGTAAAATAGGAAGCACAGCAGAAATGGGCAAAATAAATGCTAATTGCCCATTAAACTCTACAAGAGGAGGAGAACAGCATGATGACTTCCTGTTTAACCGCCTGAGTTATAAGGATAACTGCAAAGAAGCCTTCACAGTCAGAATTCTGTCTTTTATGAATATTTTGGCTATATCATCTCACTAAGGGAGATGAATTTCAACTCATAGAGAGTTTAACAATTTTTATGATAGAAAATTTTAATGACAGAAATCTTTTATGGGAAAGTTATTTTTGTTTTGAAAGGACTTCTGGGTTGGAATGTTCGGATTAAAATTGATCATTGCCCAAACAAGTGATCCAAATGCTTTTTGAATGACTTGTTGACAAAGCCATTTTGAGGCTCTAACTTTTCATCCCAGTTTGGGAAAAAGAAACAACAAACCTTCAAAGCTCTGGCAATATACGGAAACCACTTCTTTCCCAGCTGTAGCTGCGTAGTAGTTGTAGTTGTAGTTGTAGTTGTAGTTGTAGTGGGTCTTCTTTCAGCAATAAGGATATCCTTGGCACATCATAAATAACAGTAAGAGAATAAGAAGCTGTTCTTAATACCTTCAAAATCTAACCTTTGAACTCATTTGTCCATCAATATATATCAAATGAAAGTTCCTTATTTCTCATGTCCATTAAGAAGTGGAAAACATATTAAATAAACAAAAATGAATAAAATTATCAGATCAGATTAAAGATAAATTAAAAATAGAATGTGCTGCCTGTCATCATTACTTATCTTAAAAATGCGTTCATCAGTCTCCATCTGAGGAATCGATGTGTGGGTTTTGTCAGAGCTGTCCAGTTCTGAGAGAAATTAATTTGTTGACACAGAGCTCTATCAGTAATAGAAAAGTCATTGACAGATAATTGTGTACTTTGCTAGATGAAGTACAGAGGCTCTTTTCTAGGAAAACTCCCTTGGCAATTGTAAGAGCTTTCTTCCTTCAAAGTGCTGTATAAAAGAAATAAACACCAGAGCCTTCATGTTTGCATGTAAATCAGAATCATTCCAGTAGTCACTAGAACAACTGAGACCCTCCTTAAGAATCCAGGGGAGGTTTGGATCTGGATTTGCTGTTTATAGAGTAGCCATTAATGAGAGTCAGGTCAGGAAATAAACTTCTCGGGTTTGCCTCTGTTTCTATAGTTAAGTGTGGTAGAACTTGGGATCAATGTTCCTGAAGCCTTGGGTGAGCAGTGGGACAGATTTTCTGTAAATGACAGTTATTACTGTGGCAAAATGGCAGATGGGTTACAGTAACTGACCTTGTGCCAAAGAAGTCTTCTGTTCCTTCATGCCCTTTTGCAAATCAGTGTGACTTTGTATGCAGAACTGTTATTCCTTTGGGAAATGTTAAGAGTATCCAGATAGGATTCATTTCACCTAACTCAGAATAAAGATCCTTTTTCCTAAACATAGGTGCCTAGTACCTTTTGAGTTGCTCTAGCAGTCCCACATGGGGCTGGCAGAGATGTCACAGACCCTCTAGAAAGTGCATGCCTTTCTGAAATAGTAGCTTGAGGTTAGGCAGGATACACCATGGCACCAAAAATGGTCCTCACTGCCTGGGTTTAGTCAATTGAACGTATAATATTTGTAGTCTTGGCTGCCTGTCTGTGCAAGTCGCATTAGTAGTCACATTCTATATAGCAGAAAGAACGAGGCATTTCAAAGTGAGGAGAGTCATCTCATGCTGAAGTAGCCATCTCAGATAGATGAGAGGAACAACACGGTAGAGCTAGCTATTTTTCTCCATTGGTTGTTAAAGGAGCTAAAGGTGAGTAGCTCAAGGGTAGATACATACCTTACGGCCTTCTGCAAAGCTGTTCAGTTTTACTGCAGGAGTGAGACCTATAGCCTCCTCTCTGTCGTTTGAGAGGTTGCACAGCAAAGGGGAATTTGGGGAAAGACATGTAAGAGGGACAACAGGATGACACTGGAATGTTTACAAGAACATCCACCTGGTGGACACATACATTCCTACATGCGGTAACGCAAGAGGCAGCGTCACAGGCACTCTAAACGGCAGACTTCCAGCTTACTGAGTACTTCCACGGGTGGATTTTAGTTTCTACCTGCAGACCCCTAAGTTTGAACGCTGTGGCGCAAGTCACTGAGGATATGCAGCAAATTCAATGCAAATTCAATGCAAGACCTGGGAAGAGAAGTCAGGGTGAGTGGCTGAGGCGTCTGTTCTGACCTCAGTGTTCCTCTCTACCAATCTGGAAGGTGGTTTAATGTCATAATACTGTTCCTAGCAGTCTTTCCTCTCACACCTGGGGCAGCTTGCTGAAAGTGGGCATGCGTGTTTCATTTTAGGGACTATGGGAAATCCTACCTGCTTTCCTATTGATGCTCTAGGCAGATGCAGTCTCTTATCAGCCCTGTGTCACATGTACCAGTGCCACCAGTATTGCTTGGCTATGCAAGAGTACCTTGAATGGCACTACGTATCTGTGCTTAAATAGTTGAATTCTGTCCTCGATGTGGCTTTTGTGGGATGCTTAGCTCTTAGTTATACTCAGTACAGAGTATGTATTAACACTGTTACCGCTGTCAGCTACATGAGCAAAGCAGCTGTCACCAAGGATCAGTGCAAACATACATGCAAATCTGGGTGAGAAATATGAATGCATCCTTTTTGTCTGTCGTTGTTTTCTTTTAGTACCCCTTGCATTGGGGAGCTTAGGGTAAACGGTGGGAGAATGAAATATTGGTTTATATAGAATAACAGTACTTCTAGTGATGTAACTCCTAAACTTTTCAGCTAGCAATTCTCCTTCTGGACTGGTGAATCATATTTCTGCAATGTAATTTCAGAGAAGATCAAAATCCCTAATTTTTCTGATGCAGCCTATGGCAATTTGAATTTCCAGTTTCCTGCTGTCAGTTCAGACTAGGACTCAAGAAACTTGAAATACTTTCTCCAGCACGGTTCATCATGTTAATCCCACGTGATTAATTCTACTTATATTTGGAACTTGACCTTGCCTAAGAGTCTATAATTCCCTTTGGCATCGTCCATTATGATTGTGAAAACTACAAGTTTTGGCTTGGTGCCTTTTTTTCATCCTTGATAGAAGTAACCGAAACCTGGCTCTGAGCTGATGAAGAATGTTGTGATTTGGTAGTAGATTTTCAGAGGCAGAACATTTCTTCCTGTGGCTGAAGGACACCTTCATCTATCTTCCCCTCAGTAGCAACCAGCTGAACATTCCTCTTCTTTCTATTGAGGAACTGTGCGGTCACCAATGAGAAGAATTTAACATTCAAGTGAAATCAGTGACCTGAAGCAGTTTTGGTCTCCAATAAATAAAGTGAGAATCAGTTGACTTGGAGCTCTTAAATGTGGCAAAGACAACTGCTAGCAAGAATGAGTAGACAAACCCCACTGTTTTATTTGTTGCTTATACTGCCCAAGGCCCTGCTCTGCTAAGAAAATCCTTTCAAAAACATCGCACATTGACTCTTAAAGCGGAATTTTGGAAGCTCTCATAAGCATTTAATGTACATGATTCCCAGGATTAGCGCTCTCCCACTGTCTGTTATGAATGCCTACTGCATCGTTTGTTATAAATAGTGTTTCGATTACCCCAGGGAATAACATGGTTGTCAAGATATTGTAATCACTGAAATATACCACATGACATGAAAAAAAAAAGGAACATATTTTGCAAACACCTTTAAATTGGCAGCTCTGCTACAGTGTTCATAAATAGCTGAAAGTCAATCACAAAATTGCTCCATTCATGGACTGCAAAATGCCAGGAGCCCTGGGACTCTGGAAATGCATGTAAGATAAATATCTTGTTCCAGGCCAGCAGGTCCTGAGACAGCAATTCTGTAGTTCTCACAGCGTGCATCATTGAAAATTTTGAGACAGATCAGTATGTTGCAAACTACTCTACTTTATGTTTTGAAAGCAACCCAGACTTGCTCCAAGATGCCAAGCGCTTCTGCTGATCACAGGCTCACAATCAGAATCTTCTTTTTTTTTTTCTTTCCTATTTACACTGGGAGGACACTTATATAAGAAACTTGTTAGCTTATGTTACATCAGCAGTAATTATAGCAAATCCCAATTCTGAGCCGTGAGATTTCAAAAGATCTAATAATTACCCAACTCAATAGATTAAAAAGGCAAGTGGTGAATCTACCATTTCACTTTACTTTAAGGACAGTGCTAAACAACAGGCATTTTTCAGCTATGATTCATCTGCTCTGTTCTAAATTCTCCTGTGGCGTGAAATGAGTAGCCTCCACAGAGTATAAAGGGAGTCCAGCGTAACTAGCTCACATTCAGCTCTCTGCAAGGTACATTGGGTCCTTGTTCATCAGAGCCCTACCTAACCATTACAGCCTGTTGTGTAATAGGAGGGTGGTTTCAAACATCAGCCGTATCAACACAGCACGGTGCTGCCACTATGCAGCAATCTATTGGGGGGGGGGGGTCCTTGGCAAACCGGCTGACCTGGAGACGCATACATGTAGTCTAACAAATCCCACCCTTAGTTCCTTATGGCACCCAGGAAAGGTCTGGCAGGGAGTTAAAATAAGGCACCTAACTGGAACCATTAGGTCTGTACTCCATTTGCACTGCAGTTTTGAAAAGATTAACTGCTGTTGGATATTTGTTGCATAAGCTAATATTTCTGGTAAACTTCTGAGTCTTCTGCAGTCAGTGGTAAAATAAAAGAGATGATAGATTGATTTCCATTGGATTAGAACTGCAAAGCCTGCCTTTTCAGGTATATCTCATCCTTTAATCGACTGTTTGACTCACTTGATTTTTTTTCTTTCTCTCACCCTTCTTTTGCAGATAAATTTTGTATTTCTATTTAACATAGTTAGGATTTTAATGACAAAACTGAGAGCTTCAACCACTTCAGAAACAATACAGTACAGGTAAGTCAGCTGATGCTTCTTGCTGTTTGTAGTGTTATTCCTAAGAACTGCCTTTCCTGTCTTGTCCTTGTTCCAGCTATGTCTTTTCAGATGCCGCTGTTTATCTTGGAGGTTGTCCTTCTTGTCCCTTGAGCTTGTACATGAGCTTACACATGAGGTTCATGATATTTATTTTTGCAGGCTATCTGTAAAAGCATGCCTGCATTTTTTTCTGTCCAACCCATTTTAATGCCTAAACAATGCAGACAGCCAAGGCTTACAGGCACAGGGACAGATGTGCACTGCAGCAGCCCCCAGCGTCTTTACCTCCTTCAGGCTTTCACATGCCTTGGTGCACATGTGATGGGATCACACAGAAAGATGCACAGGGTAATGTCATTAGCTAACTCATCCCGACTCATGCCAACTTACTCAAATTCTTCAGGAAGAAAAAGTTTTTTTCCCCTTCCAATGAAAGCTGAACTGTCAGTGAGAACAGGAATTCTATGAATTTCTAAATGTACAAAAGTATATACATTATATTATATAAATATATGTATTATAACTCATTTCAGTGATGAATAGACTGTCATTCAACTAATCTGGAGAACTGGAGCAGAAATATTCAGTCTCTGTCGAATTACTTCTCTGGCCAGGTCTCTAGCTTTGTAGAAGCAAAACAATACAATATCAAGACTTCCTAATAAATGATGTCTATGCGCGTACTAAAATCCTTGCTTTCCTAAGATCCTAGAAGAGTCAGAAGTTAAAGGGGAACAGAGCAAAGACCTGAGTCAAAGCACTCCTGCCTGTAGTCAATAGCAGTGTCATTACTTTGCGTCCACAGATTACTGTGCAAGCACAGGTATTTACAGTAGGGCTTAATGATTACTTTAACATGTAAGGTGTGAGAATGAAGGATTTTTCTGCCCCATCCCATTTGTTGGCACCAGCATTAGTGTAGCCACTCACTGGGGTTGTGTCAGGGAACTGATCCTGAAGTAATCCTTACCTTTTAATGGGGTGGCTTTTCAGGTGGATCAGTTCCTTGAGCTGTGTGATGGTGCAACCTCACAAAAACTAGTGTGGCAGAAAGGAAGAGACAGGGATGTTCAGCCAAGGAGAGCAGAACAAAGGTGGCCTGGCACCTTCTGGCGTCAGATCAGCCCCAAACAGTGACGAAAGAACATTCTTTGAGCTCTACCAGAAAATGCTGAGTTTCCCATCCACTCTGCCTACTTGCAGTATCTTGCAAGGTGGGCCTTCAGAGGACAGTCTGGGGTCCTTTACCGATAAAGAAGTCCTCCCATTTTGTGAAACAGCATAGATTCGGTGGAGTAAAACAGCCACAGTCCCCTAAGTCCTTTCTAGACAAAATCTTAGTGTACCAAGCTGAGGCTTGAACCCTCGTGTCCTCAAATCAGCCTGCTCTTGACTTTGGAGACAGTTTTGCCATATTAATGCATTCGTGTTTTATCTGTTTTCTTCCTGTCACTCCTCTCTGGGGTTTTGGGGCAATTATGAAGTTAATGCAGTGGTCTGATTTTTCTTGTCTGATCATTTAATAAGAAATGAAGGAAAAAAATATTCCTTTCTCATACTGAAACCTTATGAGAAAAAAACAGAAGTAGGACAAAAAACTCTGATTCAAATCTCAATACATTTCTCCATGCTGCAGTTTAGATTAGATTCTGAGGCAACCTGAAGTAACTGTCTTTGACTTTGAACAGATGATGGTGATCTTATCCCTGTTACAAACTCTGTGAGGGAATCTTCTTTCTCACAGTCTAAATAGAAACCCATTCAATTCCAAGCAAGCCTGGAGCAAGCCTTGTTGCTCTAAAGTTGAATACTTCAAAGCTTTGTTAAGCAGGTATTAAATGATGTGGCAGCTAATTTAAGACTATTACTCTCCCACGACACTGACTGTGTCTTTGTGCTCGCCTAACTGCTTGTATTTAGCCACCTCTCACTGCTTTATGCTTAGATACTTGGTAGCAAAGTTGCTTTCTTCTACGTTTGTACAGGACCTAGCAAAATGAAGTGCTGTTCTGTGGTTAACATCCCAAGACGCTATTACAGCACAAATAATAAATAATAGCCCCTGATAATTCTGTTAATAATCATTTAAGCTTCATTGTGCACCATCTGCTTGTTTATTATTTGTAAGCTAGCCCTAGGCCATGTGTTGGATATACAAACGTAACCGACAGATACAGCATTTACACTCCAGACAGAAAGGAGAGATGGGCATAGGGCAGATCTCATGGAAACAGCTATACTGTCCTGGTCAGCAGCTGAATCATGCACTTCTCACATTTTCATCCTGGGGTGTAAAAAAAATCACACTCACTGGAACTGAAAAGTATCTTAAGGCTTCAGCCTAATACAAGTGTTGGTGATGGGACAGAAACGGTCTGGAGGAGGAAGAGAGAAAGGCAGGGATATAGAAAAGGTTTCAGTTTGACCACTAGAAATCAGAGCGTGGGGACCAACAGCAGTATTCAAAGGTAAAGACTCTCCCAGAACATCTTTCTCCAAGTGGTCAGGCACAGGTCAGAAACCGTTACTAGCAAATTCACCTATTGCTTCACAACCCAGAGTGGAGGCTGTCATTCTTTCCCTGCTCTTCCTGCTAAACTCTGTCCACCCTTTCAGTCATGTGAGCAGGCTCTCTCTCCCTAATTCTTCTCCTCGTCCTAGGAAACCTGTAACCGTCATTGCCTGAGAACCCAGCCTGACCTGGAAGGATGGATAGGAGCTTCCATTCTGGGTTATAGAACAAGCTGGTCATGAGCCTTGGGGCTGTTCGTATGCAGGCAGGCTGAGGAGGATCTAAAACCTGAATGTCTGCCTGGGCAAGTGCTCGTTAGTCCGTTGTGCAAAAATAGGCCTCCGCTGCTGTCCTCAGAAAATGCCCTAGCAGGGTGCCCTGAGAGATGGAGATACCTGCAGGGAGTACTTGTATTCCCTAACTCCAGTCACTTGGATTAGAAACAGGACAGAAGTGGGCATGTGAATTTCTTTCTGAAAATGCTTCTTTCCTCCGTTGACTGTACATGTTGGACAGCCCTAAGCAGATATGTCTTAAGACATGCTTTTGTTTTCTTTTTGGCTACTCCCTGTTCAACACATGCAGGTGCTTATGGAGGCACCTACGTTCCTTCTCCAGCTCATGCAGGTACTTCACTTCGCTCTAAATTGCTCTCAGATTCATGTCCTCTCTGCACTAGAGGAGATATTTGTTTGGATTGGGTCATTCTGCAGCAGTTCGGATAACGTAGTTGTTCTCTCCTGTGTTCACTTTATTTTCTCTTTCCTCCCCACAGGAAGGCGGTCAAGGCAACATTAGTTCTTCTGCCTCTGCTGGGCATCACCTATATGCTTTTCTTCGTCAACCCTGGTGAAGATGACATTTCCCAGATTGTCTTCATTTATTTCAATTCTTTCCTGCAATCTTTTCAGGTAGGAGAGCAAGGTTATAGCTGGTGTTAGCTGCTGCTGAAAGGGTCCTCTGTTCTTTAGTCATGAAGCTTATAGCAATGAAGTCCATTGATAGAAATAATAGTTGAAAAGCTTCATAGTTCATGTTTACTTAACAGATGTACACAGCATGTCATATGGAGCACAGATCTCTCTTCGGGTACATAGCAGAGGGATTCATCTCCCTTAACATCAGTCATTTGTGTATTCAGTCTTTAGCTGAAGATCTTCACCTAGGCTCCCTCTAATGTTGGTGGAGAAGGATGATGTTTCATCCCATTCTAAATTGACTATGAGAGAAGGATGAACCAGGGTACTCTCAAGGACCTGTCTCTCTTCACTGCGTATAGAGGGAGCTGGGAGTTAGATGAGAAGCTGCTAAAGCAATGGAAAACAGCTTCTACCCCTTGGGCTTGCTTGCGTAAGATGTGAACTATATTGCCCACCCTCTCATCCTAGCTGTCCTGCAGTGGTGCATACATTCAGCTATTAGACCATACGAGCTGTCTGAGGACTTGTATCCCATCTCCTCCTTCCTTTGAATTTAATAGAAGTTTGGCCAGGATGTATAAGGAAGTGGAAGGTGAGTAATTGCCCCAGCTTTCTGGACTTAGTACAAATCCAGACTACATTTAGCCCCATACTTCTGTTTAGGTGTGTCCTGTGGCTTTACCTCTGCTAAAGACCTTCTTGAGCTGGATATAACTGTGTTTAACGTTAACTGTTACTTCTGCTAGAGGAGTAGGTGCTCTTGTATTCAGGATATCAATACAAATACACAGTGCACACGCTCTCAAACCAAATCTATGGCTGTGGGTTCCAAAGGTTTTGAGCTCTAGATTATTATTTTTACTGATTGTGTGTTTAGCTTTGAAACCCAGAGCATCACACTGGAAACAGAAGCACAAAATCCAAGAAGAAAAATAACCATTTTAGTCTATGAACAGTGGGACCTTACCGCTTACCAGTGAACAAATCCACATTTTTAATTTCATAAAATAATTTTTTTGTCTGCTGATGCTTAATATCTCCAAAAAGGCCACTGTATTTATTTTTATTGTTAGTGGTATGAAGATGTATGTAAGAAAGTAAGCATGGGGAATATCTGTTATCAGATCGTTACAATCATTGCTGAAAGCAAAATGGATGGGACTGCACTCACAGGTTCAAAAGTGAACGTATTATCGTGTCTTCATCTGAGCTTCCATTATAGTCATTACAGTCTTGGCAGTCATGAAAGAAGTCTAGTCATTGCCATTAATAGATCCTGGAGTGCAGTTCAGCTCAGCTGAATGTAAGCTACCTGATTTGATATATTTGCCCACGCACAACCATCTAAGGCCATTGAGACCCCCCTGTGGTATCCGTGACATCCGCATAGAGCTCGTAGGCATCACACAAGAAAAGTGAGAGGCCTGTGACATTTTAGGGAAGCAGCTGGCAGCTGTAGACATACTGTAGCACGGTTGCCCCTCTGATCAGTGGAACTGCTGTCTAGACTCTGGCTCTCATGTTTTATCTGTGAGCTGCAACCCGCCTTGTATTTTCTAATGAAAGTGTAGGGTAGAGATTTGATATGTCTGGAAGTGGATGATCTCAACAAGAGTATGGTTATGCTCAGGATGATTTCAGGATAAAGCTCAATCCCCAATTCTGCATGTTAAAATACTTACCTAATAACTGACTACTTTTTATTCTTTTCAGGGTTTCTTTGTGTCAGTATTTTACTGCTTCTTGAATGGTGAGGTAAGTTGTACCCTCTGCTGTCAATGTAATCAATTCTTGGGAGGTGGAACCTGCCTGACTGCCAGGTTTTAGGGAAATGAGACGTGTTTGCACGGGGTCGTAGTCACATCAGTCTGGTGCTCTAGAAGAAATTTCTCTTAATGTGCATCTGAATTTCCCAGCCCTCTTTGCGGGTGACCTTTGTTCACAAAGCTTTATCAAATGCAGATTATCACCTGGGAGGTCAGGGCAGAGGAATAGAAGCCTACTCAGACTATAAAATTTTTATTCCTCATCGTTAGACTTCTTTGAAGTTTCTCATTAATTCTGAATATGATTTCTGGGCATACTTCTGAGCTGTGCTCTTGTTAAGGATATGCTGTAGGTGACCCATTTTTATAATGGGATTGCCTGCTGAGTTAAGTGAGTTACTTTTTCTGTGCAGATACCCAACTCTGAGTGATTAATAGCTGTTGCATTTAAAGAAGAGGGTGGGGGACAGGGTTCGTGCTGTTCCTCAGTATTAATTTTGGGGACTGCTACTTATGCCAGAAATTTCTCACTAATTCCTCTCAATGTTTGACTTAACACCCCAAAGTGTGAGAGATTTATATCTTTTCTCCTGCTTACACTGCCAGTGTCTCATTTCTTTGCACTGTGTGTCATCTTTGTCCA